TGCACTATTTCAGGTATCAAAGTTTACCTGAGAAACTCTTACCCAAGGAAATGGATGTTGACTTGGGACTCTGAACCAAGACACAGGAAGGTGACCACAGTTTGTCATACAGATGTGAAAAGTCATTGTGATTCCCACAGGGAATTCTAAGAATCCTCTTGGCTCAGTGATCTAGCTAATCATTGCCAGTGCAGCCTGAACTTCTACATCAAGGGTGACGCAAGTTTCTCCTCATTGCTCCCTGCTGTATCATTGCCAGTTCTTCAAGGTACCTCAGCCTAGAATGATACCCCTAAGTTCTCCAACCTTCTGGACACTGTCTGGAAACCACTGTCATGTGCTATAAAGCCTATTTTTAATCCTTGCTGACACCCTTGTATATAGCTGAAGTATGACCTGATCATCTGAAGAAAAGCCCAGTATTGAGTGAGCAAAGTTGGTCAGCTGATACAATGAGGCTAAAGGGCTTTATATGATTAGGTACCAAGTGCTTCCTAGATGAAAGATGAAACACCTAAGAGGCTCTAAAGGCTCTATTGAATTACCCTTTCATTTCTATTCCTGTGATTAGTGTTAAGAGACAGGGCCAGTGACCTGGTCAGTACGATGGTGTTCTATGGGTGGAGTTTGGGTTCAGACTCTCTCTAAGCCTAGACTGTGTTGTTTGATCAACACAGTCCCCTCACTATTCAACCTTCAAGTGCCCTACATACATATCCAGGTGCCTGAGTTGACCCAGTCTCATCTGAACTGCTCAGATTCCAGCCTGATGTGGTGCTGTGGGAATTGAGATACAACTAAGGGTTCCTCCCATTTCCTTCAGTCTTACAAGCACACAAACACAATACCTAAGTTAATAACTATTAGTCAGGTAAATGGAGACTTTATATAAGAAATTATTAGCCTGGAACTTTGGTAGGATGAAGAGATTGATTTTTTTTTAAGGAAAAACTCAGTTTTAACAGTGCCTATTGAATTAGAAATGGGGTTACCAGGCCACCATCTTGTAGGAATTAAGTCAGCACAAATAGATGTGGTACACAGCAAACCTCATAATCACCAGGATTTCCTTTAAAAAAAATCATTTGACTACATTTGACCTCAATCACAGTCTTGGGCTTTTGTTTTTAAGTCAAAATGTACTTGATCCATATCTATATGGGGCAGAGGGGAAATGTTCACGTTTATAGTTTCTTTCTCGACAGTGTCATTAGGTAGTGCATTTAGTGAAATGTTAAGGTGGCATGTCAACCTATAATTTAAGAGAGAAAGCCACATTGCACTCAAAGACTTGATTTATGTTGCTCAGAGACAAAGTTGTTGTCTTAGTGTGCTAGCTTACTGCTATTACCACTTCCTCTTTTTGTACTCTGAAAGTTCTTCTGTCTCAAACAGAATATATTTTGCAATTTAAACTTCCCTACCAAACAGCATGTTATACACACAGGAGAATGTGTATCCGATGTGTTTGGTATCTTGGAACTGGAATGTAGGAGTGATCCATGAGTTTTGCATCAATTATTAAACAGTCACAGATGAAGATATGCAGGGCTGGATGGGGTAGGGAACGATTCCAGTTACACCTACTAGCTTAGTGGTGATGAATGAGTCAGTTCAAAATGATGAATGAAAGTTCAAAACAGGTATTAACTCAAGCTGCAGTAGCATATGTTCTGCAGAGACGTAGGCTATGGTTTGATATAAACAACCTCATCCACAGACCAGCTGTTGTTAGGTAAGGCCTTTGCTAGAGAACTACAGAATGTGAGGATCCCATGCCCTGCCTGGCACCTCTTCTCTTTCTCTTGCAAGAAGAGAAAGGGAGGTATAGCACTGAGTGAAGGTAACACTTGGAAAACAGACAGAACATGGTTGATAACCTGGGACTGTGCCCAGAATTCCATAATGAAAGTTCTAATTCTACTGGCTAGGATCATGTGGCTTTTGACTTGAGCTTGAATCCTGCTCTGTTTTGACCTACATCAATTTTAAAGGGACAGAAATGACATTTTCAGAATCTGGGCAAAGGGATCAATGTAGAGGGCACTTCTGGGAAAACAAGTTTTATTTTCCTCTGAGTGACATCTTCTTGGCCTAAAGCTACTTCACTCCTTTTGGTACCCAGCTCTGATGACCAAAAATAAAGGCGCACCTTTTAGTCACTAATGTGGGGGCACCTAATGTAGCCCACCCAGAGCTTTGGAGCACTGTGTCAAAGTTCCCGCCCAGTAGCAGGGATAAACTACTCATAGCAGAACCTTAACACTGAGCTCTAACCCAAGTCACACTTTCATTGCTCCCTGTGTTTTTCTCTCTCTGAAGACCTCCCCACCAGGCTGGGAAGGTGGCTCTAAGTAAGTGCTTGCCTTGCATGCATGAGGCCCTGGGCTCAATTCCTTAGCACCACATAAGCAAGAAAACAAAAAGCCAGAAGTGGCGCTGTGGCTCAAGTGGTAGAGCACTAGCCTTGAGCTGAAGAGCTGAGGGACAGCGCCCAGGCCCAGAGTTCAGGACCCATGACCAACCAAAAAAAAAAAAAAGACCTCCCTACCTCCCTACAGTGTTAGCATTCAGACAGTTTGATAGCCCTCTATGCATTCTTTTAGTGCTTGACAGAAGCTTGAAAGTGAAAAGAAACAGCTGTGCCCACCTGAGTCTCTACCCAGGCCAGAGAGCTCACTTATAACCCTTTTTCCTAGACACTCATGAAAGAGCCAGAGGCCACAAATGACATTTGATGTGACCCTCTAGCCCTTAGTGCCTTCCAGTCAGGGCATTTCCAGTCAACTGCAGACAGTACGCAGACTTCTCTTCTCTAAACACAACATCAATTTGCTAAGATACACAAAGAGTAAGAGAGGAAAGTCATCAGAGACTTCACTGGAAGGAGACAGCTCCACAGTCAAGTTGCCTCTGCTGATGCTCAGCTTATCGGCATGCATTTTTATCAACTCAGCTCAGTCAGAATGTAGCCTAGTTTGTGTTTCTTTAAGCTTTATTCTCCGAGGTGTCTTTCTGAGAAAATAGACTCAATGTCCAGTTTTCTGGTTCATTCTCAATCAGTCAAAAAGATTACATTTCTTTTTGACATGGCATGGGGGGGGGGAGAAAAAAAGCAATTGTACTTATAAACTGACATGTAGAATTGAAACCCTATTGTGCAACTGTTTAAAGATAAGAAAAGAGGTAGAGGAATGGCCAATGAATGAAAAGCACCAGCTACCAAGTTCGAGTACCAGTCTCAGGCCAAAAATAAATAAGGGGCGAAAAAAGCAATTGTCAGCATATAAAATTGAAGAGATATTTTCATAAAAATCTGGATATCCAACTTCTTAAAAGGCTAAAATCATTGGCTAACACATGTTATGACTCCAGTCAGTTTACGCTTACGACTCCAATCAGTTTAAGCAAAGCAGACATTTGCTACTCAAGAGAAGACACTGGGCTGGGTAGGAGAGCTCAAGTGGTAGAGTACCTGCACCAGCCTCAGTACTGCCAAAAAGAGGAAGCCACCCTGTATGGTTGACATGAACTGTGACATCCTTGTTACCATGTAGCCCTGTGGAGTTTCAGTTTGCTCCCTGTGGGGCCAAACCAAGAAATCATGAATTGTCCTTTGAGTGTACCTTGCTGGAGAGTGATGGGGGGGGAGGGGGGGCTCATGCTCTACTCTTTATATTTCTGTGCACAGAATGGTCATTAGGAAAAGGACAGTGATGTAGACAGAATTTTGTCCCACTTGCCTGAATACATTGGGTATACATTGACAAATTCTAACATAAGGTTGTGAAAAGTAGTATTTGAGATTTGAATTTTTCAGCATATTTTGCACATGGCAGTTGTCCCTTGCTAGCCTTACATAATCATTACCTTCAGATCCATCTTTCCTTTTCCTCTTCTCCTTCCCCTCCCTCTTCTTCTCCCATTCCCTTTCCTTTCCCCTTCACTTTCCTTCCCTTCTCTTATGCTTTCTCTGTCCTTCCCTTGTCTCCCTTTCCTTTCCCTCCATTTTCTTTTTTCTTTAAAAAAAAAACTCATTTGCACGCTTGGTAGCAATTGTTGGAGCCCTGCAGGGGAATAATTGTAGGGGAATTAACCTCTGACACCTTTCTAAAAATAGCCCTAATACACCCAATCATAGGTAATTTACCTGTCCATGTTCCTCTGGGGGTAGCCAGCATGGAAGACAGTCTTGGCAGGCTGACTTTCCCTCTGCAATTATCAGTGATCCAAGTGCCCGGCTCCTGTGCCTCATCTCCCCTTAGAAATACAGAGAGCATGTTTCCCTTTCTCCTCCAACCCCTGGGAGTCAAAGTTAAGGATGAGCTCTTCCAAAAGGAAGTGCTGGGCTCACACAGTAAGTGGGAGCCAAGGTCTAGCTGGAACATGAATAGGTTCTTGCTTTTCCCACTGGTCTCTGCTCTGTCCCTCAGTGTCAAAGCTCCAAGAATCCTTAAGGAAAGGCAAAGAAAAGGGAAGGAAAAAGAAAGGAAATAGAAAGGGAAAGGAAAGGGAATAGGAGGGGAAGGGAAAAGGGAAAGATGGACCTGAAGGTAATGACTAAGGCCAGCGAAGGAGAATTGCTTCCATTCAGTCCTCACAACCAAAACTCACTGGGGAAAGTTTCTTGGTGTAGAAGACAGAAGAAAGGAAAAGGCCATGTGTGGTGGCAGGGACTGTGGTTAACAGAAATTATTCAAGAAAGCTACCATTTCCCTGATGCATAAAGCAATTCATTTCCCCTTACCCAAAACGAAGGGGTGTGAACACGCCTTTTCCTTTTGTTCTGTTGAGTCATTCCAAGAGACCACAGTGCTGTGTGGACAGCTAGGAAATTCGCCTAAGAAGTGGTAGTTAAAATATGGAACATAAAATCCTTATAAATTCCGCTGCAGACACAAAGCCTTAAGCCCTTAAATGCACAGAAAAGTATGTCTATTATCGATGCTTTCAAAGTAAGTGTGCAGTTACTTAAATTGCTTTTGTCTTCTTCTTTTCAGCTGACATTATCTCTACGGTAGAATTCAACCACACAGGAGAATTACTAGCGACAGGGGACAAGGGGGGTCGGGTTGTAATATTTCAACGAGAGCAGGAGGTAAGTGGCTGTGAATGCAAAAATGTCCATTTCCTTTTTCTTTTGTAAAAGAGGCTTCCAACCGTTCCTTAATCCTCCTGTGTTGCCTGTTACCTGCTCACAAACTAAATTGCAAAAGCAAAAAAAAAAGTCATTAGCATCAACAGTTGCACAATGAACTTATGAAAACACCTGGAAAGGTGGGCTCATGCTACCCAGCCTGATCTTTTGGAGTCTAGAATACCAAGTATCACAAGGGCTCACTTCTCCGCAACACTCCAGGTGCTTCTGAGGAAACTGTTGTGAGAAGGTTTATCTTCTACCTACTGAAATTCAATCTCCCTTCATTCCAGGTACAGTCAGAACACAGAAGAGAGAGGAAGGGGGAAACTAGTTATAGATGTGAATCAGTAGAGAAGAAAATATCACCCTACCAAAGGGGAGTGAAAACTCACAAGATCACATCTCAGCAAAAAGGGACACACGGGTCCCTGGAACTCAGTGTCATATGCACCTCTATTTCTGAGCAAGAATTCTAGTGAATCCCATTTCTTCCTGAGACTTGAGTCCCCTTAGGAATTATTTCTCTTTTTCATATAAATTGAGAGGAGGGGTTTTCCTCCCCCCCCCCCCACACACACACATACCCAATCTCTTTTGGTGTCTGCTTCTGTTTTGTCAGAATTATGACCCAGTTTGATTTCCTCATCCTCCCCTGGCACAGTCTGGGAGCCTCCAGCAGGCTGGTCTGTGTTCTACCAATTCTCCCATCTGCCACAGTCTTGCCTCTGAGACTCACTGGGACCTGGGAAAGCAAGAGGAAGGCTCCACAAGAGACTTCCCAAGCAATTGAGTGCCTGCTCTGTGCCTTTAGGCCATTTGCATTACACCCTCCCCTCTAAAAAAAAAAAAAAAGGAAAAACCTCATTTAGAGGTGATATATTTGGTAATTGCACATTATTTGCAATTAATTTCTATAAGGGCATCAAAAATCCCTTGGGGGTTGGGTATAAATTCAGGCGCTCGGCATTAAATCAGGCACCCAGCCTATTGCATTGGCCCTGGAAATGTGAAAATGTGGTTGGCAAGTAGGAACTAATAGCTCTTCGTGACCTGGAATTTTTCCTGCTTTTCCAGAGCTGCTTGGTGCTAATTGGTCTGGCACATGCTACACACACTTGACAGTCTGATTTGGATGCTAGCAAATCAAAACTCTTACAAATTTATTGTTAAGGTGGACTGGCTGGCGGGGGAAGTAAGCAAGAGGGACGTCAGCATTTCAAGTGCTTTGAAAACTGATTTTCAAATCTTTTTTTTTTCTAATTTTCTTTAAAAAAAAATCCAATTAGGTTCACAGTAATGATAAAAAAGGAGCTGGAGATCTATTTAGCATAAATTACCCAAAGGCAGAATGTTGCCACTATTATTCCATTCCACATTTTCAGTTCGCTATTTATAGGATTCACCTATTTTAATTTATGGAAATATTTGGGAAGCCTGATTCACTAGTAGAATGATGGGGAACCCATTTCCCAAAACAGGATGATGGCGTTGTTCACTGCAAAATAAACATTAACTGTGAAAGTGAAGAAGGGGAGTCCTGGAACTCAGAGAGGTACCCCTAACCTGACAAGCAGTACAGTACTGGGGCTTGAACTCGGGGCCTGGGTGCAGTTCTTTAGCTCTGTTGCTCAGGGCTGGCCCTCTACCTCTTGAGCCACTCCTTCACTTTTGACTTTTTGTTTGTTAATTGGAAATCTGACTTTCCTGCTCAGAATGGTTTTGAAAGGAGAGCTCAGTCTCCTGAAGAGCTAGTATTGCAGGCATGAGCCACTGGCACTGGGCTGTTTCTAACTTTTTGTGGGTGAATCCTGTGAGTGAATTTTCACAGGGCTTTGCTGTCCCTCATGCCTCATCAGAGATGTGATTTGGGGCTTTCTGTATCTAACTAGGAATATAAATTGTAAACTGAGTCCTTTCCCCTCTCTTTGAAAGTCAAGCTTTTGTAACAAATGTTTTATAAGACTCGGTTTTTTGAACAGTTTTTCAAAGCCAAATCCCAAAGCTCTTGGGTCATCCTATAAATATCTGAAATAAATCCTGCCTCCCTTCTTGGATAGGAAAGTAAAACTGGTTCTATTGGAGGGAGGGAGGTATTATTCAGAGCAGGGAAACTCCAAGAAGATGATGGATGAGGACAGAGAGAGTTGAAGTGCTTTGTATGCATGTATGTAAACAGAACAGTGAAGCCTGTTGAAATTGTTTTAAGAAGGGAGGAGGGTGGTAAGGGAGAGGAAAAGAGAAGTGAGAGGTCTTGGGTACATTGTGTGCAAGTATGGAAATGTCAAAATGACACCTCCCCCCCCCTTGTACAACTAATAGAGACTAACAAAAAAAAATCTCTAAAAGTGTAAAACCTCTCTTTCCAACTCTTCTCTTTAGTCCCCTCTCTCTTTTTCTTCCTCTTCCCCTTTCTGTGTTACATTTGCACACTCAGTGCTAGGGCAAATACAGAGGTGAAATCTCATTGTTCTAGTGATGCAAATGGCATCTCTACCTCTGCCTGTTTTGTCACTCATTCTGGGAGGAACAGAAAAAAATTCAAAAGCAGGTACCCAGATCTGGTACCCAGATCCACACCTTATGAGCTTTGTGATCTTGGGGAGGTAATTTTATATCTCTAAGCCTCATATGTGGATCCCTATACCCTACCTGCTTCTGAGAGATTCTGTGAGAATCAGGTACAACTTTTTAAAAGTAAGTGGCCACGGTGTAAAAGCAGTGAAAGTTGCCACAACTTTGATTTTAAAACAAAACAACAACTTTGAGATAAATTTGTATTTCTTAAGTTGTAAAAATAGTCCCAATATTGTAAGTAGATGTGGGCTCCCCGCATGGAATGGAGGGGTTTATTAGGATAAGCAGTTAAGTATTAGAGCTTCTTTCCGTATTTACTTCAATATCTGTTGTAATTGAACTTCTGGCTTATGTATATGCTGTGACATACAGAAGTTAGTATAGATCACCTACAAGTTAATGCAGATATATTGGTGGCCCAACCTTCAGAGGCTGCTGATCTAAGGCAACAGAGCATGGGACTGTCCTGAGTTTTGCCTCACACAACCTTATACACCCTCCTCACCCCAGCCCTGAAGGCTCTGCTGAAAGAAAGAAAAGGGACTGATGAGTTTCCAATTGGCTTCTTCCATGGTTTAATGTTTATGTGTGTTTTTTTTCTCTCCTACAGAGTAAAAATCAGGTTCATCGTAGGGGTGAATACAATGTTTACAGCACATTCCAGAGCCATGAACCCGAGTTCGATTACCTGAAGAGTTTAGAAATAGAAGAAAAAATCAATAAAATAAGATGGCTTCCTCAGCAGAACGCAGCTTACTTTCTTCTGTCTACTAATGGTATGTGCAGGTGATACTCTGTGTGATTCACTACAGTCTGCCAGCCATGCACGGGGAATCTATCTTGGCCTCAGTTTCCCTCTGTACCCTGTGGACTCTGGAAAAAGCTAGCGACCACTTTGGCAAGATGCTTTGTAGAATGCCTGGCACTCACACACAGAGAAGTAGACCCATCGGGAAAGCAGTAGCTTTTCTTTTTATAAATATCAAATCTATTTCCCGATTGTGTAGAAATTCATTATCTGCAATTTCCAACAAATGTAGATTACTCACAGGTGTGTTTTGAATGACTTCCTGTCTTGCGCTTCACTGGATGTTATTCTGGGAATAGATATCAGGAAATTCAACAAGCCATGCTGTCTCTGAGTTGAGTATATTGGAGTTATTAATTCCTAAATATATTTTATGATCTATCAAGCAGATGGCTGGGTATTTCTCTGGCAGAATCAAGTTCTTATCTAAGAGCCCAAGTTAGAAAGAGATGGGGCACCACTAAAGAACTTACTGATCACGAAACTGTTTCCTCAAACTCTCCTTCAAACTTCTTACACCATTTGTAGGTTTAGAAAGCCAAGATGTTGCCTGCTGAATGGTCAGGTTAACATATTCATAGCAGAAGTGGAATTACCTACCCTACTATAGCTCTGTGTGTGTGAGAGAGAGCACACTAAGGCTTGAACTCAGGGCCTGACTGCTCTCCCTTAGCTTTCTCACTGAAGGTTGTCATTCTACTACCTGAGCCATACCTCCAATTCTGGCTTTTTACTCGTTAATTGGGGATCAGAATCTTTCAAATTTTTCTGCTTGGGCTGACTTTGAACTGCTATCCTCAGATCTCAGTCCCCCAAAGAACTACAACTACAGATGTAAGCCAAAAACATCTGACTTCCCTCTAAGAAGTTATACATTGAAGGGTAATAGTTGAATAGCATGACAATTAAGAGAATTAGTATATGGAAATTAGATACCATTTCCTAATAAGTTAACTTACTTCATCTTGTCTATGAAGAGATTTATATTTAAGCATAAATATAAATCAAGAAACTCAGGATTTTCTTTTTTCTATACCAGCATTTAGAAAGGAAAAAATTCACATGTCAAGTGAAAAAAAAATTCATTCCTTTTAAAGATTAGAAGGAAGCAAACCTAAAAGTTTATCATGCTTATTTTTTTATTATGGATAACTTGTGAATTTGTTCATTTTATCATTTTAATTTTCTAACTTTGTGTTCATGAGTTATATTTTAAGAAAAAGAAGTTTTGCTGATGAATATGAGCTAGAAATCCATCAGAAACAAAGCCAGAGTACAAATGTAAAAAATGACAGATATAAAACAGTCATTTTAGGGTTACTGAAGCACAGCCTCATCTCTTCATGACCAGATCCTGAATCATCTGCTCTTCCATATTTAAGTATATTTAATTTTTCCTTATATTTATTGTTCTGATTTCTTCTGAAATTCTGGTTTCTTGTAAAAACAAACACAATTGTGTTACAATTTCTTCCCTTTTAATGTTGATGTTCAAGTTGTACTCCAAAGCTCTGTAGACTTCTAGTGGTCTTAATAACATCTAGCAAAGGAAAAATGTCTGAGTATTTTCTACAGCTAGTATGTTAGATTATGAAATTTAATCTATTGATTATTGCAATAAAATCCAAAGACTTATTAACTACTTTGTAAGGGGGATGGGAAGGAAAGTGAAATGCAATGAAGATTAATTATGTAGCATAATGTTCTGTTAATTGAGTTTTTAAATAGTTTTTTGATTAACAGGGATATTATCTTCCCATTTGGGATGACATTTCATATGTCAACAGCATCTCAAAAAATAATTCTTATAAGAAAGATGTCTGGGTTCTTTTGTGGTTTTCTTTTGTTATACTAATATTAAGATTCTGAACCCTCCTCAGAGCCAAATAGATCAACATGTAAAAATTAAAGGAAGACAATTGGAATTAGCGAACAAAAGAAGAAATGATGATGAGTGATAAGATTGTGTTCAAAGCTGCCACAAGTGATGATAGACTACTTAGAGAAGCAGCCAGGAAAAATGAAAAAGCCATTACTCATAGTAACCACCACAAGTCCCTTAGACATTTTTATCCACAAAGCTTCAAAACACTGAGTGGAAAATGGAGGGGAGGCAATGATAAAGTCAAGAATGACCTCAGGCAGTGCAACCATGGAGAGCTGGATTAAATTCTCTATCAATTATCTTTTTGAAAAAAGATGGTGCTTATCTTACTATAATTGAGCACAGTTTTTACTTTCTGCTCATTAACATATTTCCAACCTTCTAAAATGTTGTTCTAAGGCTTGAACTCAGAACCACAGCACCACTTTCAGCTTTCTTTTTTGGTGGTTTTTGTTTGCTTGTTTTTGATGGTTTAATTGATGATAAGTGTCTCAAGGACTTTCCTGCCTAGGCTGGCTTTGAACCATGGTCCACAGATCTTAGCCTCCTGAGTAGCTAGGATTACAGGCGTGAGCAAAGTCACCTGGAACCTTCCTAATGTTTAATGAAGACTAAAATTAACATTCACCTGTGAATCTAGTCCTTGAAATTGTCACATGGAAATACATTGCTTCATTTAACTTCTTACTAGGTACTTTTCTTTCTATGAAAAGAGCACATGTTCATTATATGGATTTTTTTTAAACATAGAGAAACAAAAATGATAATAAAAGTGTTTCAATCTAAAAGAAAGCACTGTCAAGGTTTTTTTTAAAGAAAGTAACAAAAGGGTATTAGTAAGTCTGTTGATTTTTAAATTGTGTTTTTATTATCAGTTACTCAAAGATGTTATAAGCACTCTCAATTGACGTCACCCCTTTCATGATTCTCCCCCATCTAGCCCAACTCACTTCCTCCCCTCAATTTCCTTAGTTTCATAGGATATGCGTTGAATATTTATGGCTGCACTCCCTCTCTTCCTCTCTTAATTCTACCTTCTTCTGTTAACCTCCCACCACACGCCTTTCAAGGACCAATTTCCTGGTATTCATGTCATTGGACTATGAGTTTTTCTAAGGATTTAAACCATTTGAATTCTCCCCTGCAAATACCATACACCACTTGATACATTTTTTTAATAGAAACGTGCTGTTGTGCTACAAACTTTTAATACCAGATTTTAAAATTTCATAGTGTAACTATAACAGGATATTTTCCTAATTGTTATTTTTCTATAATACTATAACATTTTCAATGACTATATAGTATTCCCCTGTATGATTCTTCTATAGTTTACTAATAAACCTTTCACTATTAGACATTTAGTTCTTGGCAGATTTCTTTTTCTCTAAATTATATATAATATAGGTAATGGATGCTATAAATATATTTATGGCTATAGTTGTTGGTATAGATAAACACATAGGTAAAATACATGATATCAACTATGTATAGCATATTAGAAATAGTTGTATAATTGTATACATATAATGAAAGACTAGGAAAATTTTCATAACACTTATGACTGCCTAATAGAATTTAAGATTTTTTTATCTTCCTGCTTATTTTCATTTTCTATTATAACAAATACTATTTATTCAATAAACAAGGAAAGATGATTAAACATAAAAATCTACATATAAAATGCATATATTTGTAACCCCTGAAACATCCCTAGTGCAGAGAAAATACTATGTGAATTTATGTACTATGTGGACAATAGATTGTCACTGACTGCAGAAATTACAGGTATTTAAGTCTGGTGCCAGTAGCACACACCTGTAATCCTAGTTACTCAGAAGGCTGAGATCTGAGGATCACAGTTCAAAACCAGCCTGGAAAGGGAAGTCCATGAGATTCTTATATCCGATAAACTACTTAGAAAAAGCTGAAATGGTGCTGTGGCTCAAGTGGTAGAGCACTAACCTTGAGCAGAAAAGCTCAGAGACAGCATCCAGGTCCTAAGTTCAAGTCACAGGACCAACAACAACAACAAAAAAAGAAATTACAGGTGATTATTATTTTTTGTGTTTTACCTGTGATTTTTCAATGTCGCTGTAGAGCCAGCTGTCATTCATGATAAGAGAAATATAAGCTAAAAATTGCCTCGCAGATAGGCTGGGACACATTTCAAAGCCAGCATTGGAAGGTATTTGGAGTTAAAAATCTACTGAGTCACAGTTATTATGAGCCCAACCACAACTGACCAGGAGCCAATCAAGAGACTTTAAATAGGCCTCCCGTTTCTTTTTTCCCATCTTTCAGAGCAGGTCCCCCTGGCAGGATCTCCAGAGGGGGTGGAGCAAGAGGACTGTTTGCCATTGAGATGGAAATTCCTAAATTAAGCCCATAGCTGGGTGGGTTTCTTTGCCTCTTGCCCTCCAGGAGCCAGGGTGAGGAAATGAGATCAGAATGCAAATCCTAGTGCACAGATCAGATTATAAAGTTAGCAGTTTTGCCAGGCCATCAGGAGATAGATCGGTCTTAGCATTGCCCAGGTAGCTCAAAACAGAGGCATGTTCTCCATTAAAGAAGCCCGGTTGGTACCGAAAGCCCACAGTATGATACATGGAGGGCCACGGAGGGTGGGTGTTGTTTCCAAGTCTCAGAGGGAGCCATCCTGTGAAGTCACCACTCTTTGCTCTCAAGATCTCCCTTCCCAGAGGGGCAGGAAGTGCTGGCACACAGCCTGGGGAGGAGGAATGGAAGAGGAAAGGAAGGCAAAGGGGGAAGGAAAACCCATGACCCTTGCCCTCTTCCCCCTGACAGCATATGGAACATGGGATAAGACTGAAGCCATCAGAGCAGTATGTGAGGATTGCTGACTAGCTGCCCAATTTGCTAGTTCTCAAAGAGCTATCATTTGCAGGCAGTTCTTAACAGCCTTGCCCTGGGTTACACACTTCCACATAGTGGGGTTTTTGAACACATAGAGCCCCAATAGGAAGGCAATCTTTATTCTGTTTTCAAATGAAGACACTGGGATACAGAATATCCCAGTAAAAAAAAACAAAAGTAAAAAAAAGTAAAGCCAGATACTGATGGCTTGTGTCTGTTATCTGGGCTACTCAGGAGGTTGAAATCTGAGACAGAGAGACAGAGAGACAGAGAGAGAGAAAGAGAGGGAGGGAGGAGAAACACACACATACACACACACACACACACACACACACACACACACGACAAGAACACAGAAAAAGAAAATGTTGGTTTTATGGAAGCCTTTCTGATATGAGTAATGTCCCAATATATGGGTTGTACTTAATATGGTATATGTGAAACTCAGATTGGACTGTGTATTCAGTACTTTTTTCTTCTCCCTCAATGTGGGGGATCTTATTTATTTGTCATTCTAAAAATATTAGTCTGTGCCTCCTGAATGGGGATCCTAGCTTCAGCCATGCAGCCAGCCAGAGATAAAATGGGGACCAGGCCCAAAGTTGTCTGATAGAGACAGAGGACTCAAGTATGTCCATGACTTGTAGATAAGTTAAAATAATGCAAATAAGGAACAGGGGATCTGATTATCCAAGGCCTCACATATGCTAGGCAAGTATTCTCCCAAGGAGCCGTACCCCAAGCCTAAAAAGAGAATTGCCTCATCTCTGCCTGAATATTGCTAGATGTCTTATGTAGATGTCATCTATTCAATCTTCCAGCTAGTATTTACTGAAGTATCTATTATTCCCCAGGTACTATTCTAGTTGCTAGAAATAGGGTGATGACCAAAACAAACTTCAGAGAGTGTATATGCTAGTGAGAGACAGGTAATCTATAACCAACCAAGCAACTAACATTGTTAGTGGAAAGTACTATTAAATGTAAAGCCAAAGCCGGGTGCTTGTGGCTCACGCCTGTAATCCTAGCTACTCAGGAGACTGAGATCTGAGGATCACGGTTCAAAGCCAGCCTGGACAGGAAAGTCCATGAGATTGTTATTACCAATAAACTACACAAAGATAGTGCTCAGGGATAGGGATAGTGCCCAGGCCCAGTGTCCAAACCCCAGGACCAGCCAAAAAAAAAAGTAAAGCCAGACACTGATCCTTGTGTCTGTTATCTAGGCTACTCAGGAGGTTGAAATCTGAGTATCACAGACTTGCCTGGTCAGGCAAGTCCATGAGACTCTTTCCTCCCAGCACGAAAAAGCCAGAAAGAAGAATTATGTGGTCAAACACTAACTTTGAAAAAAAAAAAAAGCTAAAGTTCCAGGTCCAGTACACACACACACACACACACACACACACACACACACACACTCGGCAAGAACACAGAGAAAGAAAATGTTGGTTTTATGGAAGCCTTTCTGATATGAGCTAAAAGAACAAAGTGAAGGAGTAAAGTCCTGTAGAAAAGAGGATAAAGGGCTTTCCTAGCAGAAGGCACAGCACATGCAAAGTCCCTGAGGCAGAGTGAGCTTAGTGTGTATGAAGCACAGTGAAGAAGCCATACAGGAGATCACAGCAAGTGAAAGGGACTAGGGTACTCAGTGAGATCAGACATGAGAAGGAAATAGAGACTACACGTTATAAAAGGCCTTCCAGGACATGATAACCGTATTTAAAAAGTCGGGTGCTGGTGGCTGGCACCTATAATCCTAGCTGTTCAGGAGGCTGAGATATGAAGATCCAAGTCTACAGGAAAGCCTGGGAGAATCCTATCTCCAAGTAACTACCAAAAAGTAACAAGTGAGGTGTGAGCTCAAGTAGCTCAGCTTGAGTAAAAAAGGTCAGGGAGAGCACTCAAGTCCCTGAGTTCAAGCCCTAGTTCTAGGACAAAAACAACACACTTCAGCAGGATGGGATGGTATAATGGAAACATGAATGCTATCTTCTCCCTAGAGTTATAATCATGGGTGTTAACTTTTTCAAGTATAATAGTTTTCTAGTAAACTCCATTTATGTGACTGCTCTTCCTATTCAGTATTCAATCAGTAGTTTCATGGACTGAATCAAATTAACTGATAAGCTATGGGGTGAACGTGGCATTAGCAAGAAGAACCATTTGTCCCACCACCATCTACGCTTGTGTGAGATCCCATTTCAGATGTCAGGGAAATGGTGTCCTGCGGCCTTTCTCCTGCACTGCCCCCTGTGACCACACTCTCCTCCCAGCCCCAGACTCCTCTTCCCTGAGCCTTATTTCCTCTGCTTGCCCTCCACAGATAAAACTGTGAAACTATGGAAAGTCAGTGAGCGTGACAAGAGGCCAGAGGGCTACAACCTGAAAGATGAGGAGGGCCGGCTGCGAGACCCCGCCACCATCACAACCCTGCGGGTGAGTGCGCTCAGGGCTCAGGCCCTGTCCTGGGCAGCCAGGGCTGCCAGGGGCTGGGGAGGAGGCGGGGCAGGGGGTGGGAGCGTCTGCTAGAGCAGCTGTAACAAGCAAATCAGGGTGCTCAGTGGAGACTCAGCCAAGCTCTGATGACTACTTCTCCACACTTAGCCTTTTGTCCCCGGCCACATATGATCGAACACTACTCTGTGCTTAGCTTCTGTCTGCTTACTTGGTCTAAAATATCCTGAGGACCCCGGGTACAGGGAATAGGAGACAAGGAGGAAGTTGAGGATTTCACCTTCAGGATCTAACTAAGGCTGGGTTTGAACTCCACCACTTACAGACTCTGGGACACTGTGTTAGTCACTTAAGTCCACGTGACAAGAAACAAAAAAAGTCTAAAGGAGGAGGAAAAAATGATTCCAGATGTTTCCGTTCGTGGTCACCTGGATTTGTTGCTTTCAGGCTGTGGTAAAGCAAAAACATCATGGGGGTGGGAACATGTGTTCCAGACTGCTTAAATCGTGACAGCGCCAAGAAGCAGAGACAGGCAGGGAGGGGCCAGGGGCAAGACACCTCTCAGAGGCGCACCTCTGGTGACCAGGCCTTACCTGCTGCTTCCTCTCAATGAATGCCATCAAATTAAGAACTCATCAACAGATGAAGCCATGGATTGGTCAGTGTTCTGATGTCCCAATTACCTCTCCATCCTTGGGGGCCACTAGCTTTCAGTCTTCCACATCTGACTGAGCTGGGGTGGGCAGTTCATACCAAAATCATCACCATCACTTAGCCTTCTCTTATTTTTATTTTTGGCAGTACTGGGTTTGAACTCAGGGCTCACACATCCAGGCAGTTGCTTCTAGAAGACACACCCTGTGTTTTTGCTTTTATGACTTTTTTATGACATAGCTGGGATAACAAGTGTGCACACTACCATGTCTAACTTTTTATTTGTATCTGAGATGGAGATCTTATAATCAATATCACTACTCCCCCCCCACAACTCCCCTAAGAAAAGAGACACAGAAACTAAGTGGTTACTACTATGTGTGTTGACTAGCTCCCTGGTTTATGTGTTCATTCACCTGTTTAATCCTTAAATGTTCTGAGCGCACTCTTTGACCTCTCAAGGATGGATCCAGAATTCATGGGCACTGAGTCTTCAGATGAGCTGCTCCAGCGCTGGCATTCATTGGCTGCTATTTCCTCTGGTCACCCTGCACTATGAGGTGACCTCTGGCCATCTACTGCTCTTGATATACAAAGGCCTTGAAGACTTGAATCAAACAATAAAGACTAGGATCCTGGATTCAGTCTATTCTGGGCTAGAATGCTGGCTCCCTTACTCTCCAGCTCAGGACTCTGAACACTTTATAGTAGACACCCTGTGCCCTTAATGCCTTCTCTTTGTTACATGGATGATAGATGCTGCTTCCAGGGATTTTCGCGATCTTACACACAGTAAGATACTGTGTGTAATGAGAACTTAGCTCATGCAGTACTTGGCTGATAGAAAGTACTCAATGTTAGTTCCTGCTGTTGTTTAAATATTACCACCATCATCATCAATCTCCTCTTCCTCCTCCTCCTCCATCATCATCACCACCATCATCACTGTGGACATTCTTAACCCTCCCCAATAGTAAGCCTATATATAACAGAAAATTCATATTTCCCTTTTTATATATTTTTTTTACTGTTCAGTTCACTCTACAAACTGTTTGTGGCTATCTAGTATAGTGCAAGCAGTGGGCAAGTTACCAGGAATGAAGGTTGTCTTTTTCTCCTGAGGACATTGTAATCCTCTGGGGAAAACAATTTCTACTATGAACTTCTGCCCAAACTTTGCTTTGTCCTTTTTCTATGGATGAAATTTCTGAGGCCAGCCATGGAGCCCTCTTGGGTACGCTGTAGGAGCTATCATGCATGACATCCTATGGGATCTCTGAGGATCCATCGCTGAGATGAGAGAAGGCCTGTTCCCATTCCTGGTGGAGCAGAGGTCTTCCCTATGGCCAGATGGGTGCTAATGAAGTAGGATGCACATCACATCAAACACAGAAAGAGGCCCAGAGGTGTTTGTGCCTGCAAATTGGAAAATCCAAATCTAGTTCTTGCTTTTTCAACAGCCAGCGGTATAGAACCTGGCCAGGAAATCCCATTTCTTCCCTCCAACTTTGGCTTTGAAGCTTCCAAGCAGAAGACTGGGGAAAAAAAATGTATATTCCTGAGACCTGTAACCAGTGGGATGAACTAGTAGAATCTGTTTTTTAATGCATTTTAAAAAATTATGCTTTAAAAAAATTGTAAAGATGATGTATAGAATATATAGAGGGGTTACAGTTACGTAGCAGGTATTGAGTACATTTCTTTCTTTCTTTCTTTCTTTCTTTCTTTTTTTTTGGTCGGTCGTGGGGCTTGAACTCTGGGCCTGGGCGCTATCCCTGCGCTCTTCAGCTTGAGCCACAGCACCACTTCCGGTTTTCATGGTTTATTGGAGATAAGAGTCTCACGGACTTTCCTGCTGGGGCTGGCTTTGAACCGTGATCCTCAGATCTCAGTTTCCTGAGTAGCTAGGATTACAGGTGTGAGCCACCGGCGCCCGGCTTTGAGTACATTTCTTTTTGAACAGTGTCACCCCCCCCCTTCCTCATTCTCTCCAACTTTCCCCCTCCCAACTCCCCCCCCCCTCCCCCCCCCGCCAAGTTGTATAGTTCATTTCCAACATAGTGTCTAGTGAGTTTCACTGCTGAATTGGTTCACCCTTTGTCCTACCAGTTCTATGTTTCCCCTTCCCCTTCCCAAATCAGATAAGTTTAGATACAAGACTAAGGGCACAGAAGTCAAAAACAGTGACAAAAGGGAATATACCAAAAGAAAAAATAACAGCAAACTGTACAATAAAAAACCTCTTGTTTACATTTCTTGTAGTTCCTTTCGATAAGCATCATTTTATATGATCTTATGCACATAGCTATTGAGCCCTTGTGATCCTCTCCTAAGAATATCCCCCTTTGTTCCCACTGTGTTAATGTTTAGAGTACTGTGTAATTGTGGGCAGATGTAATTACTGATCTTTTACTGTCCATTGGGTTTATGTGTAGATTTATAGGCACATTCTAGTTATTAGAAATGAGGGAAATCATGCAGCCTATGTTTCTTTGGGCCTGGCTTACTTAATTTTTTCCAAGTCTTCCCATTTCCTTACAAATGGGGCAATGCCGTTCTTTCTGATGGAAACATAGAATTCCATTTTCTTGGCCCATTTGTGCACTGAGGGGCATCTGGATTGATTCCATATTATAACTATGATAAACAACGTTGCAATGAACATGGTTGTGCTGGTAGCTTTTCGTGTGTGTTCATGTGGTGATGGTTGGACTCAGGGCCTGAGCACTGTCCCTGAACTTTTATGCTCAAGGCTAGTGCTCTACTACTTAAGTCATAGCTCCACTCCTGGTGTTTTTGGTATTTAATTGGGAATAAATGTCTCAAGGACTTAACTGCCTGGGCTGATTTCAAACTGCAATACTAACATTTCAGCTTCCTGAGTAGACAGAATTACCAATGCTCAGCTGGAACCTGGATCTTTAACACTTGACCCTGGTGGCTAACACAAGAGGATCTGTGGTCACTGGGTTCTGCTATCCTCATGGCCTCTTAGAACTGTTGCATTTATGAGCCTCTATTATTTTTTTCAACCATGTGAGCAGTTCTTGTACCATTTTTGGAGACATTTGTCATAAAATTGTTTTACTCATATCTAATTTTCCTCCTCTTCCTTCATAGACTTGGAGACATCTTATATTTTAGGTTAATACCCATATCCAGCGTTCTTTTTCAGTGCAAACTCTAAATATAAAGACCAGCCTCCATTCCTCTTTGATTCTAGCAGTAGAAGGAAACAAAACAAAACAACAACAACAACAAAACACTAGGCAAGGGAGAAAACCATAGATTCAGAACAATGGCTCCAAACAGAGGAGCTGATATGTTATTAATCAGCCTATAATTTACAAACATGCTCAGCTCTCAAATTTTGCATTGCCAGCAATTTTTCCCTCGCCTCCCTCTCTCTCTTTCTCCCTCCCTCTCTCCTTCTCTCTTTCCTTCTCCCTATAACATGATTCTCTCTCACTCACTTTCTCAGTTTCCAACTCTATATGAGTCTTGAGTGTGAGAATGTTTAATAATATACAACAGCTAATTAATCCTTGATGTGTAGTGAGCCGGCTCTGCTTCAGGTCTGAGAGGCTCAGCCCTTCAAAACAAGAATGGGGCTGATTTTTTTTTTTTTAGGGAAGATGCTGCTTGCGATGTGTTTGTTGTTTCTTGGAGAGTCTATGAGATACCCTCCTCTGAAAGCAATGTCCCCTGTGGAAGCAAAGTGGTGATAATCAACAACCTCATGGATGTCAAACACCCTTTACATCACAAAACGCTTACTTACCCCATGCCTTGATTGGTCTTTAAGACAGAAAACAATAAAAAGAACAGCATAGGTGTCTATCAGGGAAAATGTTGCCATATGGTAAAATTTTTTGGATATTTTTATTATCTTTAGTTGTGCCAAGGAGTTATTCAACAAAGCAGTTCAGGATTATAATGCATCTTGATAAATGTCACCCCTTTCCATATTCTTACCTACTCCTCCCTACCCACCCTTTCCCTCACTTTTCTTAAATTTTTATATATATTGACATTTTTGGCATTTAACAAAGTGGTTTATATATATAATGCATCTTGATTTATGCCATCCCTTCAACATTTTCACTCCCTTTCAACCCACTCCTTGCCTTATTTTTCCTAATTGGTGGTTTATGTAGTGAATTTTTGACTGTATTCTGCCCCCTTTCCCTTTCATTTGTCTATCCTTCTCCCCTTGGCTGCCACCCCACCTCTTATAAGAACCCATTTCCTGGGTTAGGGAGCCTTTGCCATATCCCACGCTGCCCTTTTTATCTGCTCTGGAAAACTAGGAGCTGGGGTTTACTGTC